AAAAAAATAAAAAAAAAAAAAAAAAAAAAAAAAAAAAAAAAAAAAAAAAAAAAAAAAAAAAAAAAAATTCACAAATAGTTATGTGTAAAATTAATTACATTTGCACAAAATTTCTTTTGAAATAATCGAAAATAAATTTATTCCTTTTTATATTTTATTACAAAATAATGAAATTTTACAAAAACATAGATTTAAAATTACATTAAGGGAAAATCTTAAACATTTAATCATTAATTTTATAATTTTTTTTTTTTTTTTTGCCTTCTAGCTATTTTATAGAATTTTTTTATTAGGGACTTTTTCTTTTATTTAAAAATACAAAAATAATATTTTTTAAATATGCATTTATATGATTCAATATATAAATATATTTATATTTTTCATTAGTTAAATAACACACTTTTTTTCAAGTAATTTCAAATTTATTTTTTCTTATGAAGCTTTATTTGAAGACTGAACCCAAATAGTGGTTTATCAATGTAATGAAAAAATAAATATATAAAATTAAATAGAGTATTAAAATTGTAAATATATAGAAACTTTAGATAAATTATAAATGCCTTTTACGTTGAATAGTTCCATTTAGTAATAAGATTAAAATTTTTAAGTCTCAATAATTTCAAAAAATATTATAAATAAATAATATATATACTACAAAAATAATAAAAATATTTAGTTTTGTTTTTTTTTTATCTTTTTTTATTTTTATGGAATCGTTATAAAAAGTATAATATATGAATAATATTTAAATTAGAGATGATATATTTTTAATAAGAAAAAGAGAAAAAAACAAAAATTTATATTTTTATCAAAATGTAAAATTATACATGTTTACGTGTAATATTTGTTCTCAATTAATTTTAATTCTTCAAAATATAAAGTGATACATTATATACAATCAATTATTCCAATTAGAAACCTAGTTTATACTAATTTTTATAAATACCACAAACGAATAAAAACTTTCAAATCCTTATATTTTTATCACATTGCTAACATAAAGTATCATCACTAATATATTTTAAATAAATCACATATTGTAATATTATTAAAAAAAATAATTCAAAATATATAAATTTAATATTATATATTTAGAGCGAATTTAAAATAAAGCATTAATTATATTTATTCTTTATTCTTACAGAAAATAATAGTTTGTATTATTTTTCATTATAAAATTGTGTATTCTTTTATTTTATATAATTTTTATTATAATAATTTTATTATCATATACATTTAGTTAAATATTTTTTTATATTCTATCAAGTGTATATTTTACAATGTTATAATGAATAATTATTTTTATAATAATACAACTTACTATTTATATTTATAATTAAGCTATTACTTTTTATTTTAATTTTATTTGTAATATTAAATATTTATCAACTTTTTCTCAATATTTTTTTTTTCCATTTATAACGATTATTGGTACTTATCTATTGTATAAATAAAATAAGAAACAAATTACATTATAATTTTTCTTATTCTTATGAAATAATTATTTTGTATATTTTATTTTTATTATACGTATTTTTTTTAATTCAATAAAATATGGATGAAATACGATAAGAGTTAATTAAAATATTTAAATTTTTTGAAAACTATTTTTAATTAAAATTGATCGTAAATTTTTTTTCTAATATAATTGTACTTTAAACTATTTTTCTAAATATTGTAAATTTTATAACATTAAGTTCATTAGAATATATATGAATAAAAGTGTTATCAAAGTAAAAATAACTACGAACGTACTAGAATATTCATATTACTGTTAACATTTCTTCTAAAGAATATTATCCATTATGAATAGAAATACGTTTTTCTAGAATTATAAGATATTAATAAATTTAAAATTTAAAAATAAATTATTTTCATAATAAATAAGCATTAAAAGCAGTGATATTATATATTTTTATTGTCTTTGAATATTTATGAATAATATTTTTGAATATTATTCCATCCTATTTAAATGTTGTATCTATTTTTTTATTTCTTAATAGAATATTAAATTATGTAAATAACATGTAGTTGTAATGTATTATTTATATTCATTATGTTACCTCATTCCTTATACAATATAAAAGAAATTAATTTTTAAAATATACAAAAATATAGTATGTGTTTTTTTTTTCCCCCCCCCATTTCTATTTCATTTATCTAAATAATAGATATACAATATATATAATTTTCAATTAAATGAATCAATTATAGAAAATTCATTTGTTCTTAATATGTCTTTTCAATGAATTTATTTTATCTCATTTTTTTTTTTTTTTAATTAGAATTATATGGATATAGAAATTTCTGTTTTTTATGCTCAAGTCGTAATATAACTAGTTTTTTTATTTTATTTCACTTGTTTTAATTTTTATTTTTCTAATTTTTCTTTTATTCTTAATTCATAAATATTGTACATAAAAATTTTTTTGGTAACAAATTATTTTATAGAAATTTAAAAATTAATCTTTTTATATTATATATTGGATAAAGTTAATGTATCAAATATTATTATCATCCATCTGAGAACTTAGAAAGGCATCTTAATTTTGAATTTTCTCTTTTTTAATATTTATGAATCATTTTTTTCATACATACTCTAAATTATTTACATATAAATTTTTATTAAAGATGTTCTTATTTTCATTTTTCTTGTATAATTACATTTAAATTTATTATTTTTTTCTATTTCATTATATTTTATTATTTCCCAAATTTCAAGTAAATTACTTTGTATATTTAAAGAGAGGCAATAATAATTTTTTACTCAATATTTTCTAATTTTGAAAATAGTGTCATTTGTATGACCACTCTTCTAATCGCTTGAATATTTTATTAGACCCTACAAATTCATACACATTTACATATTGTAATTGCGTCTATATTGAACCTTAAGAAAATATAATTTTAATTATTAAAATATTATAAAATTAATTCATGAAAATTGTTAATTTATTATTTAAAAAACATTTCTTGTTTATTATAAAAGAAAGCAAGATGACAACAATAATTTCCAAAAAGAATCTATATATATTATAAAAAATAAAAAAAAGATTGTATATTTTATTAAATCGCTTTCAATTATATAAATTATATAAATAAGAATAATCATTTAAATTTCTAAAATGAATATAATTATTTATTATATTAAAATTATTATAATTATTCAAATTATAATAAGAATATAATACATTCCTATTATTGCTAATTTTTTTTTACTTTATTTCATACTTCTATATCAACTTGTTTATTACTTTTATATATATATATATCCAATTATCAGATGAATACATTTATATTCACTTTTTTTTTATTTTCTCTAATTAGTAATATATTTGTTATAGTTATTAGGAGAGTTATTTATTTTT